AAGTCGGACGCTTAACCGACTGCGCCACCCAGGCACCCCAACAGCCAAGAACTTTTAAGTGGTGTTTCACTCCCAAGCTGAAGACTAACAGAATTAGGAAACCCAACTCTCAACCAACCTCGGCAACCCTTTGTTTAGTAACTCAATAAACATTTACTATGTGCCAGGCTTTTAAGCTCTGGGAACACAATGTGTGGAACATGGTGAAATGGTCCTTTGTCCTTTCAAGACTTAAGAGTCTGGTAGAGAAAACAGGCACCAAATGAGTTAATGGATATACAAAATGATTACACATTGTGGTAAGTGCTCTGCAGAAAACAGTTTTATTCAGCATAGACACTTCCGGAAACTCATTGTTCACAGAGCAGCCAGGCTGGACACATCTAATGGAAATATTTTTAAATGTTGGGTTAAATCTACCTTATTGCACCTTCCACACTTTTAAGCTGCTTTTACCCTTTGAGCAGCAAAGAATACACATACTAGCCTTATGTTAGGACCGTTCTTTAACACTGAAAAACAATGACCAGAACTTTTCTGCTGCAAATGGTGCCAGTTCTTTCAACCATTAGTTATCATAAAGACAATGTGTGTGAATTGTAGCTCAGCCACTGACAAGATGCTGGGTACTATGCTTCTCCCAGCTTCAGTTTCCTCATCTGAGGAGCGCAGATAATAATCTATACTTTGCAGGGCTGTTGGAAGAATCAGAGCGAGTATATGTAAAGCAATGCATTGTACCCTCTTCATCTCTCAGTGTTCTGTCCTCCTTAAAAATATACGCAAGAAGCTGTTATGTTATTAGAATGTGATATCCAGGATTGGGTACAAGGCTCTGGCCATGATATCACTGAGCCAAAACACCAGGGAATGATCTCGTCCTTTGGGTGGGCTGTCTGCTGGGTGCTAGTGGAGCTTTGGACAAATATAACCTTTATACTCTGATGAGACACAGTACTCGACCAGCTCACCCTACACTGGTGATCGCCATCCTATCCATGAGCATATCATGAGAAAAGTGGTCGAAGCTTTGCTTAAGAATCACTTCTGAAGAAATAGATCCAGGTGTGTGGAGATCTTGAGCCTGACCATCAGAAGGGAAACGTACACAGTGCCAACAAAGTTCTGTTTTTACAAAATGTGTTGTGTAAGTTTGAACATGAGCTCTGAGCTCTGAACAGGTGTGAGAATTTCCTCTCTGCACGGTACCTGTAGCAGGTGGGGCTGGTGGAACTGCACCGACAGTACTCAGGTTCGTCCGAGAGGCGAGCCCGGCCCTCTCCAGAGCCCGCTGATAGTTATCATAGAGAGTCTTCCCGTACTGGGGAGAGAACACAAAAGAAGCAAGAGAGGAATCCATTTATCCCAGATTCTGCACTTGATTGCAATATACGTACTGAGAAAAAAAAAAAAAAGTACTTTGTAGCTACTCTTTTCACTCTTTTCTGGAGTTGTTTTTTTAGTGTAAGGATTTCAACAAAACATCCACAAATCGTTTTTTTTCACATGTTAAGTAATTTTCCAGATTGGCAGAGTCAGTTAATACTTTCATACCCAGACATTAGAGGAGAGCTTTCGCCACGCGATTTTGAGTATATAAGTCTTCATATAAATCTACCAGTTTCCACATCGTGTTTCTTAATTACACACGACACATGCAAAGCTCTCCAAGAGTAAATGAAGGTCTGAGAAGTCTCATGGGAGAGTAAACCCTGATTCTCAGGTCATTGGAGAGGTCCGTGTTTCTATCACTCCCCGCTATTAAAAAAACCCCCAATGGGCAAACAAATGAGATAGTATCTTCAGCTCTGATTCACAGAGAATGGGTCAGCTGTTTCTCAGCAGCACGGAGACTGGACCCACCCAGGTCAGGATGCTGGTATGCAATTCAAGATAGGGTGAGCCCAAATGCTCTCTCACCTTGGCAATCCTTATTCCCATGACCCACTGGTTTAGGGTTCTTGCATCGTCACAGCAGAGATATTTGATATACTGGGACTCCTTCTGAATTTGGGGATGCTAGAAAAAAGTAATTTCAAAGACCATTTATAAACTATTAGCACTTTTCAAAAAAAAAATTTAAGACTGTAACAATGTTAATTTCCTGATGTGGTGGCAAATTGCTACTGGCAGCAATTTCAGGATTAGAAATAGGGGTATTTTTAGAGTGGGCTCAATTTTGAATGGATTTAAGAGATTTGTGACATGATTTATCATAAGCACTTCTTACTGTATTATCCATAATAATTTTAATTTCTCCTTTTTTTTTTTTAGCTTTTAAAAGCCTTTGCATATACCACGTCTCCTTTCCCACAAGAAATCCAAATCGTTTCTCCATTTATCAAATAAAGGAACTTCCCTGATGCAATTCTTAAGTCCCAGAATTAATGCTTTGTGACTCCCAACCAGTCCTAGGGATATTTAGGGATATCTCCCCTATCAGGAATTCAGGGTTTCACCTTTTGTTAACTGTCATCTCCTACTCATACTGGCCATCTTGGCCTCTGGATGGGTGTCCCAGGGAAGGAATATTCTATCTATTCTCAAGTGGCAATGGCTTGGGGTGTTGCACTAGGGTCCAAGCCCTCCAGGAGCTCATGGTCAGAGACAGCAGTGACACTGGCAGGCATGAAGAGGGGAGAGAGACACTGGTCTCTGGTCATCAGATCACCTGGGCCCCTCTTCCTTAATCCTTGTTGCCTCTGTAATTTCTGTTGTGTGTGTCTGTCTCTGATAGACTGTGTGCTCTGTGAGGGTGGGGACCATGTCTGCTGTTCACTGCTGAAGACCCCCAGTGCTTAGCAATAGCCTGGCATGTGGTCAGTATTCTGGTTTAGAGGTGGAAATAACTGTTGAAGGAAATAATGAACAAAAGCAAGATTTCCTGTTCAGCCAGAAGTGTCATGGGTACAAGGTGAGGGGCAGGCAAGCAAATCTCGATTTTAAGATTTGTGCCATGTGAATTTTCATGGGCCTTTATCATTTTTAATAAGTTTTATTATAGAGAAAAATAATTACAAACATAGCCATCATGTGTGCATGCGTGTGTGTGTGTGTGTGTGACCAACTCTTCTGCCTCCATCTCTCAGAGGAGCTTGTTAATCCTGCTAGGACAGGCATAAATTAGTGGTGGTGCACATGAAATGGAGTGCTGACAGACTGGGAAGCCATCCTCAGTGCGGGAAAGGAGTGGAGCTGACCAGTTCCTCTCTAAGGGTATTGCAGACTACTCCCTTTCACTTTTGCTTCCAGCTTCATCACTGACCTTCAAGGAAATGGCTGTTTCTAAAGCTGATGTAAGCCAGCGACACCGTGCCTTCAACTTCAGCATGAATCTGAGAAGCAACATCTGGACCAGTCACCCTGCTGATCTAACAACTCATTGCTGTTATTGCCCAGAAGGGATAACAAGACCCATACAGACTCTTAGGAGCTTGATGAGAGCTTAGTAAGTTTTGGTTTTACAAATGGGAAAACTGAGGCCCAGAGGAGTTACTATATATTTTACCCCATGGTACACAAGAACCTTGGGGGTCTCTTGTCCTACTGCCTAGAATTTCTGTATTTATATTAAGCTATTAGGTCAAAATTCCAAACTTTAAAGATACCACACAAAAAAAATCAGAAATTGTAAAGAATTCCTTCTTTTGGCCCTTTGACCCAGTTGAGGAATGTCCACCTTTATACTTTTGTCTTTAAATGGACCATTCCCTTGGTTTAGGTCTTTCAGCCCTCAGAATTTGCATCTGTATCACGAAAAATCATCTTAGGTTTTCCGGGGGTGACAGACACCAGGCTGCCCAACGATGCCTGTAGTTCTCCATTCTGGCAGCAGATGGCAGCATGCACTTTGTATGGCTGCTGCGCATTTCTTCGTTATTGGGGTTCAGTGCTTCCTCATTAATATAACTGTTAGAGTTTAGCTTTACAAATGTTACCCCAATGATCGTTCCCGTTGGAGGCCCTTAAAATTGAAACTATCAACACGGATAATGTGGCCCAACAGCAAAAACGGATTTGTTACATTAATTAACTGGAAGGTCACATTGATGATAAGTACACTAAGCTGAGGACTTAGTCCCTATATGGAATGTGACATTCCACAAATGCCTGCAGCACTCTCTCCAGCCATAAAATTCACAAAACCAAACCACAGTCCTTGTCTTCCAGCACCAGAAACAAAGCCCCTTAACTTATAACAATGTTCTTTTAAAAAAAATTGTTTTTAAATGTTTATTTTTGAGAGAGAGACAAAGTGTGAGCGGGGGAAGGGCAGAGAGAGGGAGACACAGAATGTGAAGCAGGCTCCAGGCTCTGAGCTGTCAGCACAGAGTCCAACATGGGGCTTGAACTCATGAACTCAAGATCAGGACCTGAGCCAAAGTCAGACGCTTAACCGACTGAGCCACCCAGGCACCCCATAACTGTATTCTTATTGACGGTCATTTAAGAGGGGCAAACATGGGTCTCTTCGGCAGTTTGTTGTTTATAATTTTTCTTAGAAAGCAGCTGTTATTTTATTTCTGACACATTTAAAAAGTTGACAATGTTACCTTGGCTTTTGGTGTATTAAAATATTTTTCATTTATTTTTTGGTTCATGGCACATGAGAGCCAGGTTCCCAAGAGCAGACTTTACATCATGTATGCTTGCAGTCAAATGCACAAATCAGCTGTCTGGGTAGAGGTATCCACTTAAACAGCACAATAAATAATTCTTAAGTATGTTATTTATCCAAATAGAGTAAAATCCAAATAGAGTAAAAGCCATTAAACATAACGGATTTTGAGCATAAGAAAGAGGCAAGAACTCTTGAACTTGAGTTCTAACAATGGCTCCTCCTATGGTGATGAGACAGGTGTACAGAACTTGGTTCATTCTCTCCAACATTCTCACTGACCTCCTTACACTACACATACTACAAATGTATACAGGAGACAGCATCCGATGACCTCAAAGGTCTCTTGAAATCCTTAAATTTTATGATTCTAAGATGAGCTAATCTAGTGGGCACGAGGCTCCTTTCTGGCTCTCAGGACATCCTATAGCAAGTAACTGTGCTTGTTTTCCAGTCATGGCTTAGGACCCTGCCAAAGGGTTTACTCCTTAACTGAGCCTTTTGCTGAAAAATTATTTATAAAGGGGTTTAAGGAAAAAATGCTGGTTCAGTACCCCTGGCCAGACTCTTGTGCAACTGGTTTGATTATTCCTGATCATAAACAGAGAGAAGCTCTTGTAGGACATGCTGAAAGGCACACAAAGGTCAGGGCAATTGCAGAACATTACTGTTAAGAGGGATCTTACAGATCCTCTAAAGTGAGGTAACTATGTGTTATAAACAAGAAAACTATGCCAGAGAGGGTAAGTCATTTGTCCAAGACCAAAGGGAGTGGGTGAACTAAGAGCAAAGCACCTACACATTCACCAAATACCTCTGGGTGCTAAGGAATATGTCCCTCATTAATACAGATAAGAGGCTCACACCATAATTAGGAAGTGGTGGCTGGGGGTGTTGTGGGGGAGACATATGTAAAGAAATATATGATTACCCTATGACATGGTGAGTTTCATAGTAAAAGTTTGAAAACAGAAAATGAGAAAGGCTCATTGGAAGAAGCTATAGAGTACTGAAACACATCTGAGGAACACCTAGAAATTCTGTGTGGCTAATGTCTGGGACCCATGGAAAGAAGAGGCAGAAAATCAGCTCGAGAGAGCCAGAGTCAAGGGCTCGTGTCAAACTGGGATCTGGACATTGTCCTCTAGGTATCAGACATTTTAAAAGAGCAGAGTGATACAGGCGGCAACTGGCAGCCGTGTGGAAGACGGGCCTGGAGTGACAAGGAAGGACAGACAGAGAGGGCTAGATGAGAGACGTCTCAGATGGAAAATCAGAGTGTGATGATGGATTGGACAAGAAAGGGAACAGGAGGGACTTTTAGGAAGATTTCTCTATTTCTAGCTTGGAAAAGCAGATGGGTATTATGGGTTTAATTGTGTCCCCTGCAAAGATATGCTGCAGTCCTGACTGCTGATACCTGTGATTATGACCTTATTTGTAAATAGGTTCTTTGTAGACGTAATCAAGTTAGGATGGGGTCATGCTTGGTTAGGGTGGGCCCTAATCCAATATGACTGGTGTCCCTGTAGGAAGAGAAGAAACACAAACACATACAGAGAGGAGGGCCATGTGATATAGAGGCAGAGATTGGCATTATGCAGCTACAAGCCCAGGAAGGAGTGCCAAAGACTGCTGGAAATTGTCAGAAGCTAGGAGAGAGGCATGGAACACATTTCCCCTCAGAGCCCTCCAAAAGGAACCGACCCTCCTGACAGCTTGATTTTAAACTTCTGGATTCCTGAACCGTGAGAGCTTAAGTTTCCATTATTTTAAGTCAACCAGTTTGTTGCACTTTGTCATGGCAGCCCATCCTCTCTCCCCCCCGCCCCCGCCCCAAAACTAATACAGCAGGTGATGGTATCATTCATCTTGATAGGGACTGCAGGAGGGAGTTTATAAGGGTGGAGGGAGGGTTGAATCACCATCTGACAGGTTATGGTTGAAGTGCCCTCAGTGCAGTTACCTCAAGGGTGGGGCTGGGAGAGAAGGTGAGACTGTCAGCTATAGACTGGGAATTATTAGCATACAGATGACAGCTGGAGCTGTGGCTGTGACTATGACTTCTCAGAGAGAGCACAAGTCTGGTGAGAACAGAATACAGAACCCAGGAGAACATCCCAGAATGTGTGGAAAGAGGAGGAACCCACAGAAATGGAGGAGCAGATGAACAGAGGGGGCTAGGCAGAGGGCTAGAAAATGAGGCAGTTACCACCAATGCAAAAGATGCCAGGAGGACCAGAAGCCTGAGGACTGAAACCGCTGACTGTTCATTGGAAACTTTTTAAAAGTTTTTCTTCATTTATTTTGAGGGGAGGAGGGGCAGGGAGAGAGGGGGAGAGAGAGAATCCCAAGATGTCAGTGCTGAGCCCAATTTGGGGCTTGATCTCATAACCATGAGATCATGACCTGAGATGAAATCAAGAGTGCAGACTTAACTGATGCCCACCTCACTGGACACTTTAGTAACAGTTACAGCACAGGAGGGAGGAGAAGCCTGCAGAGTGCAAGCTCCACAGAGAAGTTCTTTGTTTTGTTCACTATATCCCAACCTCCCAGAAAGCAGTTGGCTGGAGAGAAATATTTTGGAATGAATGAGTTTTACTGACAGAATGAAAGTTGAGGACGTGGAGGACATATTGCTTTCCCAAGAAGTCTGAGTTAAAGGGAAGACAGAAGCAGGCGTTGCTTAAAGGAATGGGGTGGATCAAACTGAGGGAAGTAATTTGGAACCTCCCAAACCAAGGAATATTTGAACGCGTTGTAGCCCAAGAGAAGAATTCTCTGGAGAGAGGTTGGAGATGCTGAAGCAAAACGGAGTCACTGATGGTGCGGTCCCAGGGAAGGGCTAATGCTGGAGGGGGACTGGCCTTGGAGGAGGGAGCCTTTTCCTCTGAGGTGCAGAGTTGTGAGGATGATTACTCCATTAGTTAGGTTCAGAAGTAAATATGAAGTAAACCAGGGCAACTCAATCCTTCTCTTTTCTGTCTTCTGCAAGTAGAAGGCAAGGTATGCTGAGAAGTTCGTAGATGAGAGACCCTTTGAGAAGAGTGTAGACAATGTCTGGGGACAAGGTAGAAGACGAAGTTGGGTGGGAAGTAGGGAAAAGCTGCTAAAGTCTTCTGTGACTGCAGGAGCTGACACAGTTAGCAAAAAGCAGACTCAAGAACCAGAAGTGAGTGATTCAGCCCAGTTGTATGAGCCCCAAATGTGACACGGCTCTTGAGTAGACTAAGGAAAGGAAGGTGCAGAACTAAAAGAATGTTGACCCTAAATCCTAGCTCTAAGAAGTGATGAAGAAGCCTGGACAGATTCATTTTAAAGTTTTAGAATCAGAAACAGGAATTCAGGGTAGAAATGCTTCCACTTTTCCTATTTCAAAAAAATTATTATGATACACTTGTGGTTAATTATGGGACACTTAACGCTTTTTTCCTTAAAAGGAAATATTAACTCAACTTGTTCACAAATCTAAATCAAGGACTTCATACAACACACCTTTAAAACAAAGCAGTGGTCAGTCGGTGCTTTATATTTCATTTTACACTGAATCCCATAGTAAATGTTGACATTTTCAAACTGTATAAAGCATGCCAGATCTCGAGATGTCTGAAAGAGAAGAGAAAAAAAATCACCTTAACTGAGTTGACAGTTAATAAATTTTCAAGGTCGTCCTTGATGGCACAACTAAGGATTACATTTTAGCAGAAAAATATTGAATTTCGGTAACTTGTTTAAGCATCTATCACGTATAAGTCTTCTAAAAGTCAAGACTGCGTTTTAAGAGGTACATGAGCACACCCAAGACGAAACGGTGTTCCACAAACCCAGAAATGGAGCGAAAGATTATACTGCTGTTCTAGCACCTGCGTGTGGACTCTCAGCAGCAGATCTGACGGACTGACCTTGAGTCATTGTTATTGATGCAGTCAAGACAAGGAGACTGACCGTCTAGTCGGAAATTTCATTTTGGCTTTTGCCATTCTAAGTCAGTGATGGATTTCATGATTGAGCATTAAAAAAGAAAAAGCCCTCTTCAGGATGAACAATAAGAGGTAAATTTGATGCTCAGTAAATTAGCACATACTTCATGCACTTCTCCCTGAGAAAAAGGATTCCTTTCATGCTTTCTCGTTAGTGCTGGCGGTGTTGCTATGGAAACGGAAACCTCTCCTCCATGTATAATATGTGTTGTGAGGACTGCAACCTCTAATCTACATATTTGGTTACACTTCCATTACAAATTCGCTCTATTATTGTCTTTTTACCTTCACATTCCATAGTTCTTTACCAGGTTAGTGAATAAAGAATACAGGGCAGAATTGCTACACCTCAGTGCACAATTAGTCCTTTATATATGGTTGCACGGTTTTTTTTCTTGCAAGGTATTTTCTTCTGGCTTTTCAAAGTCTTGTTTTTTAATTAAAAATATAAAATATATTCATCATAATTTTTAAAAATAATGTATTAGATGTATATATAATAAAATGAAAATCTTCCTCCACACTCTTTTCTCTGGAAGTACCATTGTTAATAGTTTGGAAGTATTCTTCCAAATGCTTCTGGGTGAACATTTATATACATATGTATATGCAGACACACCCACTTACATACATACATACACATCCACAAATTGAAAAATATGAATGAAATTTTACTATAAATACTGTTCCATGAATTTATTTTCTTAACATGGGGTCTTTCTATATGTCAAGACATATATGAATGGATAGATACATCGCAGTCATGTAATGGCTGCACAGCATCTCACTGAATAGGTGCAATGATTTACTTAGCCATTCTACCAAAAATGACTAGAGGTTATTGCAATATTTTGCTCTTTCAAAAAATACTGTGCATCTGAGCAAATATTTCCATGGGACAGATTGCTAAATGTGCAGCTGCCATTTCAAAGGGTATTCCCCTTTATATTTGAATAGATGTTAAATTGTTCCCCAATATGGCTGGACTCATTTATATTCTCACCTCCAGAGCACAACTGTGCCCACTTTTCTTACTCCTGCTAAAATTTGGATATCATCAATATTGTTAATTTTATCAATCCCACAGGAAGAAATATTTCACTTTTTAATTTACATTTCCCTGACTAGTAAGACAGAGCAACTTTTTAATTATTCACTAGCTACTGATATTTCATTTTCTGTAAATTCTCAAAAACCATTGCCATCTTTCTGTGAGTACATTTGTCTTTTTCTTATTGATTTGTTGAGGTCTTTATATTTTGTGGATAATCATATTTGGTTATACATGCTGAAGTGTACTCTTTGACTCCAGAACTAGTCTTTAACTTCTTCTTTGGTATCTTTGGCTATAAAGAATTTAACAAAATCTTACACTGTCAAATTTTCTCCTTTATAATTTTGAGCTTCTAGTCTTGCTGAAGGTCTCCCCAACCCTGAATTATGAAAATATTAACCCATGTTTTTTAGAATAAAATTTAAAATGGGGCGCCTGGGTGGCGCAGTCGGTTAAGCGTCCGACTTCAACCAGGTCACGATCTCACGGTCCGTGAGTTCGAGCCCCGCGTCGGGCTCTGGGCTGATGGCTCAGAGCCTGGAGCCTGTTTCCGATTCTGTGTCTCCCTCTCTCTCTGCCCCTCGCCTGTTCATGCTCTGTCTCTCTCTGTCCCAAAAATAAATAAACGTTGAAAAAAAATTTAGAATAAAATTTAAAAGAAAATATAGATAAAAGAAGATTTAAAAATTTTTTCTAAATAGACTTAATCAACGTAGGATTTAATTTGGAACATGGTATGAGGTAGGAAACTACTTTCTCCCAATGGTGATACAATTATTTCACTGCTATTTATTAAATACCACATTCTTTCCCCATTGCTATAAAATGCTCACTTCAATTTCCCTTATATTATCAGATCTCAGTGTTGATCTGTTTTCTCTACTTGTGCTATAGTAGTTTTCATCTAATGTTTTGACATCTGGGAGGAGGGGTTCTACCTCAATGCTCTTCACATTTTTTTTTTTTTTTTGGAACAGTATCTCTTTCTGATGAATTTTAGAATCAGTCTGTGAACTTCAAGTCAAAAAATCCTATTGAAATTTTTCTTGGGATTTACTATATAGAAAGTTTTTGGGGGAGATTCATATCTTTTCATCTAGCAACATGGTACATTTCTATGTATTCAGTTCTATTTCAGTTCCTTTATTAAATTTTGTATTTTATGCCATATAGGTCTTGAACATTTCCTGTTGAGTTTATTGTTAGGTATTTTGTATTTTTTGTTTGTACTATGCATTAAATAATTCATTATATTTTAATTAGCATATTATTTGTACAAAAGAAAATAATTTCTTGTTTGGTAAATTTATTTGGTCTTAATAGTTTTTCAGTTGAGTGTCTTATATTGTCTGGTAGACAATCATGTCAAGAGTGAATAAAGACAGTTTGGGTCACCTGGGTGGTTGGTTGCTCAGGTTAGTTGCTGACTCTTGATTTTGACTCAGGTCATGATCCCAGGGTCGTGAGATAGAGCCCTGTATCAGACTCCGTGCTGAGCATGGAGCCTGCTTAAGATTCTCTCTCTCTCCCTCTGTCCCTCTCCCCAACTTGTGCTCTCTCTCTTTAAAATAAAAAAATTAAAAAAAAATTAAAAACAAATGAATGAATACAGTTTTGCCTCTTCATTTCCAAAAATCCTACTTCTTATTCTTTCTCTTCATTCCTTGGCCCCTTCCTCCATTCCGAGGTTAATGGTAGTAGTGAGAGAAAGTACTCTTGCCCAAAGCCAATGTGTTGTGATAGGTTTATTTATACATCTAATTTACACGTAAATGCCAAAAACATAGCACTTCCAAAATAATTTCTGTGTCAGCTATTACATCCCAGTGTGGGGCCAGAATGAAGGTGGCATAAATGGGAAGGTATCAGTTCTCTAAGACTGACACTAAGTAGGCCCAGTAGCTGCCCTCCACCAGGCATTACCCATAATGCCTCTCCTGCATTCCCACAGAGATAGAGGAGCAGATCTGGATATTTCCCATGACTTCACCTGCTTGGGAATGTGGGTCAAGCCTTATTAGAAACCTGCAGTTTGTACATATGCCATTGGGTGGTGCCCTGGATTTGGCAGTGAAGGCAAAATGCTTCAGCATACCCCAGATATAGAGAGCTGAGAGGTATCCTAAAGCTTTTTAATGGTGAACAAAAGATGGAAATGCCCCAAGCCTCTAAAATAAGGGTCTCAGGAAAAGCTAATGGTCATAATGAGAGTCTAAATTCATTTCAAAGATGAGGAATTTATGATATGCTTGTACTTCTGAGGCAATAATCCTGAATCACCAAGTAGAAGTTAAACGATAGCTAAGATCCTCTCTTAAAACAGGCAGGGAAAAGCATATAGCACACCTCAGAGAACAATTTAAATGCTCAGGGAATAAGGGCTACAATCTTGATGTAGATCTGTCAATGCTTATACCTCTATGATTCCAGATAGAAGTTTATATATAGACTATAGAACAAGAGAGTAAACACAGGAGGAAAACGTCCTCAGAAATAGGTATGTAAAGTAGCAAATTACTCTCTAGAAAAGTGCTTCTGCTATAATTTTTGAAACCTGACTTTAAAACAGATAAAATTCTTTGCCTTCAGGAGAAAGCTATGGAAAGATTCAAAAGGACTTCTGTAATTCTGTCAGAATAGGATATGCATTTATATAAACACTGTAGGAACACAAATCTCAGAACAAAGGAGTGTATTTAAATTACTGTCTGAGAATTTCTTCAGTTTCATTTTCATGAAATGATTTTTTGATAAAGCATATTACTTTATTTTCCTGACCTTAGTCTTTCCTTTGGGTACATAATAAATTCCAGAAGCCCGTAAAAGAAAATAGCGCCTTTTCCAGGATTTCTTTCCATCTTCTTTCAGATAAAGAGCTCCTTCAAGTTCTGGCACAATGACAGATGTTCCACAGAAACTTTCCTGAAATTGAGATTCCAATTATGGAGAACACGTGAAAAAAAAACCACAAATTTTTGTTCACATTTAAACAAACTATGGCAAACTAGCCTTTTAGCCAAACCAGCTAAAAGTCACTTGTCTGTAACTCTGAATGCATACAATTATACTGCATGCTGTTTGCCAAAAGAAAGGAAGGATACCATGGTGGATGAACCTCAGCTCTTGAGTTAGACTTCAAGGCTTCTCAACCACTTACTTTTGTGACCGTGGGCAAGTCATTAAATCTCAGTTCCTTTGCTTGCAAAAATGGAGTAATAATAGCTCCAACTTCATAAGAAAGGTTATGAGTACAATCTTGGTATACTGTGAAAGTAAGCATTAAATAAAGGCTATTTCTGTTATTATAAGTTGGTAAATAGAAAAATTATTTCTTTTCCTATAAGTAAAAATAATTACTATTTTACTGCCACTAAACAGAAAAGTTAGAATATATAATCCTTCACATAAACATGTGTATGTTAATTTATTCTTGGGATAGTTTTCTTACTGAAGAATGAAGAAGGCAGTTATTAACACTATGGTATCAGAAAAGGAGAAGGACAAAGCAAATTCTCTAGGTGTAGATTTTCGAATATGAAAACTTAGATATAATGAAATAATTCTTAGTAAATTTCTTTTAAAAAGCAATTCAGTAAAAGTACAGCATTTTATTCCAGTTCAAATACTCAAACTTACTTTTGGCTTTCTTTTTTGTAACTCTCAACCCCCTTCTCCTCCATCTCATAAATGGAGAATAACTTTTAGTTTTGTACCCTGCCAGGAAATGTATATATAGTGGAGCTGGGACACATTTTTGTTCATATTCTCCTCCAATTTAGCTAGTATTAGTTGCCTTGTCAATAATCTCTTCAATCAGATATTTGGCCCAAATTAGAAAGCAGAATAGTGCTGATTTTTCATAGCGTAACATCCTTTGTATTTTCTTTCACATCCAGCCTTTAATGCACCGCTGAAGTCCTAGAACAAGAACTATTCAGGCAACTGTATAAACCAAGGCACAAGCTGTCCCTGAGTTACAGACAGCTGATGATTAAAAACAAATGGCTGTGTCAGGAAACTTCACTCTCCCCTTCCCTGTCTGTCAGTTTCCATCACTGCTAGGTACACTCAGAACCTGAATCTCCTTGTTGCTGGGTACCTGGTGCTTTTTCTTCCTCGACACAACCTGGAGTCTGCTAAATGCAGAGAATGTCCCTATTCCCACTGCTACGCCTTCGTGTGAAATACCCACTGTGCTCTTGGCTCCAGAAGCCGGAATTTATAACATGTTTTCAGGACCTTGTGAGTGGCAGAAGGTTCTGATGTCTGCTCCATCTGGTTACGGGCCTGTGAGAATGTGGTGGGGAGAGAAACCTGTGCGTGAGCCTGGCCAGGTCTTGGTGAATAAGAGAAAGGGTGCTAATCAATGTCAGCGAACTGGCTCCAGGTGTGAACATGCGTCCAGCGCTCACCAGGTCATCTGAATCTTCAGAAGAAGCCTCAAAAGAAAAGAAAAGGTCAACACATTTTTGAAGGTGAAGAAAACCTGGGCTGGAACCCTACACAGGTTTTCTTCACCCTCACAAGTGTGTTGACTTTAGATCTCTGCACTCATCTGCATTATGTGCTGGGAGCAGAGCCCTGATTTTTAGCACAGTTACTACGTGAAAACTCACTAGGAGTTTCAAAAAAAAACCAACCATCAAATAAACTTCTGGAACACGCCCCTATAGTGATAATCACGAACATCTGCACAGTAATCGACCCAGTGCTTCCATTACCGCCCTGGATCGCTGTAATAATTCAGTATGATCCAGGACACTGAGGTTCTTGGACTTGCCGTATAACATCCGAACCTCAATAGCAGACCCAGACCTTGTGTCAGGTCTCCTAAGTGCAAAGCCCACACTTCCTACCACACCTGGCTACTGAAAGAACATCTTAGAATTCACTGTAAACAAGGTTTGGAAATCCTTACATCTGACTTCTGGGGAGCACTTCAGTAATGAAAAACATGGAATGTTAAGAGACGAGTTTTACGTGGATTCTTAAGTGTTTTAGGCGAGAATCACTAATCCAACTTCATGAAAGTAAAATATAGTCTAAAGCCATACTTTTAAACAACTGACTCAAAGAACCAGTTTAATTATCTAAATAGCTATAATTTAGTAATAATTTGATTTTAAAACCCCAAGTTCAAATTTCAGTGTGTCTCAGAATATCCCATTGTTCTAAGAAGCAAATAATTTAAAAATAGATACAGTTAGCATCCTTCTCTTTTCTTCTACTCTGCAAAATTACACTTACCTCAAGTAAGGATTCCTTGTTCTTAGCATTCATTTTCTCACTTGTTTCCTTCCCTTCTTTTTTTCCTTTGTTATCCAAGTAAAAATTCTAAAGAAAATATTAAGAGATCAGAATCAGTGAGTGTTCATTGCCATGCTAGCCACTGCAAGGGACTCACTGTTTTGCTGTAGAGAGAAGACGCACCTATAGGAAAAAGAGTGGGGACCACAGCATATGGTATCTGTCAACCAAGTGCCTTACCGAGGCTTTACCAAGTGCTGACTACTGAGGCGGATGTAAAACCTTCTCTTCCTCCCATTGTGCACAATCAACGAGAAAACAAACATAAAATAGAAAACACTAGCAAAGGATATGACAACATTTAATTGTTAAATTCCATTGTCTAGAAAACGTGTCAAATGCTGGAAGCGGGGAGACCCTAATGTACTGGAAGAGCCTGGGTCTGGATTGCTGGTGGAGCCCGTGCCCCATGTGCTTGTGGAGGTCATGTAGCCTCCCAAGGTCCTGTGGACTAGAGATTCTGGCTGATGAAGAGAAACTTGAAATCTGGATTTTTATAAATTTAGTGACTACTTTAAGTTTTAAAAACCACAGCACAGGGTTTGCTGCTTGGCAACTTCTAAGGACAGACAGAAGCAGAAAGGGAATTTCTGGAAAGGGAACTAGCCTCACAACGGACAGGGAAGACCATGGTTTTAAAGCATTCATGAATGGGTGCATAGTCTCTAAGTGGGGTTTGTATTAACCCATGTATCATACCTTGTTAATACTGAGTATCAATGAGAGGGCTGAGACAAAATGATAAACCAATGTTTCCAAAAAATCATGAGTATCCAAGGGTTAATCTTCACATAACCAGTATAGCTGAGGTATCAATATACAAAGTGATTATTATGAGTGACCAGTGTCATAATTAAAACACTGAGGACTTTTATGTGAAAATGTAGAGTTTTGTAAAATAACGCATGAAAAAAATGTATTAAAACTGGAACATATACCTCTGGAGGACAGTGACTGAATTTAGACACAAATGTGTCTAACAGACATAGGAAAAGATGCTCAATATCTGTAAAAATACAAATTAAAACTACAATGAGATATAACCTCCCATCTGTCAGAATGGCCAAAATTAACAAAACAAGAAACAACAAGTGTTGGTGAGGATGTAGAGAAAAAGGAACACTCATGTACTGTTGGTGGGAATGCAAACTGGTGCAGCTATTCTGGAAAACAGGATGAGGTTCCTCAAAAAGTTAAAAATAGAACTACCCTATGATCCAGGAATCGCATTACTGGGTATTTACTCCAAAAGTACAAAAACACTAATTCAAAAGGATACATGCACCCCTATGGTTATTGCAGCATTATTTACAATAGCCAAACTAGGGAAGCAGCCCAGGTGTCCATCAATAGATAAATGGATAAAGAACACACACACACACACACACACACACACACA